GTCGCTGCTGTTGTCGTTGTCGTTGTTGTTGCTGTTGCTGTTGATGTCGCTGTTGCTGTTGTTGTCGCTGTTGTTGTCGTTGTTGTTGTTGTTGCTGTCGCTGTTGTTGTCGCTGTTGTTGTTGCTGTTGTTGTCGTTGTTGTTGTTGTTGCTGTCGCTGTTGATGTCGTTGTTGTTGTTGTTGTTGTTGTTGTTGTTGTTGTTGTTGTTGTTGTTGTTGTTGTTGTTGTTGTTGTTGTTGTTGTTGTTGTTGTTGTTTTAGTTGCTGTTGCGGTTGTTGTTGCTGTTGTCGTTGCTGTTGTCGTCGTTGTAGTTGCTGCTGCTGATGTTGTCGTTGTCGTTGTCGTTGTCGTTGTCGTTGTCGTTGTTGTTGTTGTTGTTGTTGTTGTTGCTGTTGTTGTTGTTGTCGCTGTTGTTGAAGTTGTTGTTGAAGTTGTTGTTGTTGCCGTTGTTGTTGCCGTTGTTGCCGTTGTTGTTGTTGTTGTCGTCGTTGTTGTTGTTGTCGTTGTTGTTGTTGTTGTTGTTGTTGTTGTTGTTGTCGTTGTTGTTGTTGTTGTCGTTGTTGTTGTCGTTGTTGTTGTTGTTGTCGTTGTTGGTGTTGTTGTCGTTGTTGTTTTTAGAGCGGGAAGAGCGCGTCGATGAATTTTTGATCGACTATATACTATCAAACAATAGGACTTTAGGCCATCCTTAGGCCAATTATAGGCCTTGTGTATTTCGAAGACACAATTTCTCGCGCGCATTGTGGGATCAGGATTAGCGCTAATCTTCGGCTAAAATTTAACTTCTTCTTTTAGTTTATGTATTTCTGGACGTACGTTTATTTTAAAATCTCTCAGAGAAGAAAACTCTTATTGATCCGGACAAGATTCACGAAGAAATGTTTCCAAATTTATAAACAAATGTCGGAAGTTTGCTTTGAGCAAAAAGTGTGGAGTTGGCATTAGATCCTCTTTAAGCCTGAAAATCGTTGATGGTTTAGTAGAGCATAGAGCGAACTCACAATAACCAATCCCAAATGTCTAATGAACTAAATTCAACGCAATGATTCTTCTTCTTTTCACTTCAAATTCCGTTAAACCACAATTTCAACAACGCCTACCACACCTCAGGCCTCTGTCTGTCTGTCTATCTGTCTGTCTGTCTGTCTGCCGGTCTGTCTGTCTGTCTGTCTGTCTGTCTGTCTGTCTGTCTGTCTGTCTGTCTGTCTGTCTGTCTGTCTGTCTGTCTGTCTGTCTGTCTGTCTGTCTGTCTGTCTGTCTGTCTGTCTGTAATATGGATAAAGGTCAATTGAAATCTGTAGTGTTTCTTGATTTAGCCAAGGCATTTGATACGGTGGATCATGAGATTTTGTTGAGTAAACTTCAGATTTATGGAGTTGATTCAATGAGTCTCAATTGGTTTAAATCGTATCTATTTGACCGAAAACAAAAATGTAATGTAAACGGTCTAGTGTCAAGTGAGCGCTCGTTGCTATGTGGGGTACCTCAAGGATCTATTCTTAGTCCTTTGCTATTTCTTGTTCACATTAATGACCTTCCTTCTTGTCTGCAACATTCTACAGCACGAATGTATGTGGATGATACAAATATAACTACAACTAGAAAGTCGATAAAGGAAATAGCATCTGGAGTCAACGCAGATCTTGAAAATATTCGCATATGGCTCAAAGTAAATAAACTTTCCCTGAATGTTACTAAAACGGAGTATATGTTCATTGCGTCTGATAGTAATCTTGAAAAACTGCGGGACATACCATATTTAGTTTTGGGTGGAAAACCCATAAGCAGAGTTAAAGTGTCAAAATCACTAGGGATATTTATTGACGAAAGATTGTCATGGAGAGATCATATTGATAACATCTCTAAGACCATATGCTCCGGAATTTCCGGTCTTCGTCAAAGTGAGAGAGTTTGTTACCCTTTCAACATTACTTACAATATATAGTTCACTAATTCAACTAATATTTGACTATTGTGATGTTGTTTTGGATAACATGTCAATCACATTTTGCTCAACGAATCCAAAAACGGCAAAATCGTGCAGCTAGAGTTATCACTTGTCAGGGTCATAAAGTAAGATCTAATGATATTAGAAGTCAATTGAAATGGAAAGCACTTTTCGAAATAAGAAATAGTCATAAACTCATAATGATGTATAAAATATTAAATAATATGCCTCCTGTCTACTTACGTGACCATTTTAAAATGTCTTTTACAGACCAAGCATATTCTCTTAGAAATAGAAAACTATGTCTAATTTTGCCAAGAGCACAAACAAAATTCCTATAGAAAAGTTTTGCCTTTTCTGGAGCAAAAGTTTGGAACGAACTACCAGAAGAAGTAAAATGTAGCAATAGTTTACAAATCTTCAAAACATGTATCTCATCTCATGCCTAAAATCGTATATAGCTATTTTTAATATAATGTCGGCCCTCTTGTAAAGCAGTGGTATCACTGAAGAGTTCACCGAGTCTGTCTGTCTGTCTGTCTGTCTGTCTGTCTGTCTGTCTGTCTGTCTGTCTGTCTGTCTGTCTGTCTGTCTGTCTGTCTGTCTGTCTGTCTGGCTGTCTGTCTGTCTGTCTGGCTGTCTGTCTGTCTGTCTGTCTGTCTGTCTGTCTGTCTGTCTGTCTGTCTGTTTGTTTGTTTGTTTGTTTGTTTGTTTGTTTGTTTGTTTGTTTGTTTGTTTGTTTGTTTGTTTGTTTGTTTGTTTGTTTGTTTGTTTGTTTGTTTGTTTGTTTGTTTGCTTGTTTGTTATCGGTACTTATAGATTTTCGCAATTCCACGTTTAGACCCTTTCACATGTTCTTTTTCTGTGAACCTCGTTTTACAATATTTGTCGTTTTAGCTTTATGTCCGTCCTTACCACAACTATCCGACGGTTATAAATGGGGTAGAAGTCGGACACATGGTTCTTCAGTTCAATTTCGTTGCTCCCATGGTCATAAACTAGTTGGTTCATCTCGAGTGATGTGCAATGATGGTAGATGGTCAGACGAAATGCCTAAATGCCTAGGTACGTTGTCCGTTTCCACCAGAATACTGCAAGCATAAGGCCGAGGCCAAACGAGGGCGAGAGTTGAATGAGAATGAGAGATTGCGTGAAAATTTTCTCAATTCCTGTTCCTTGGTCAAACAAAACAAGAGTTTCATGAGGATTGATTGAATGTTACCGTGCGACCCGTCAAACGGGAAAAAGCTCTCATCAACTGTTATTGAAATTTGAGCTAACTCAAATATGTATCTGTATATGTATGTGTGTATATATGTATGTTTTGTAACTAAGTTTTGTAACGTATGGTAAAGAGAGCAGGGAGAAAATTTTTGTATTATCGCATACAATAAGTTCGATAGGATGTGACTATAACCCAAATAATAACAATGCCTTGGGTAAGAGAGGAAAGATGAATGGCAACAATGAATTAGAAGCTTATTAGCAAATACTGACGAAAAACGACGGCGTTACTGATGAAAAAATGCACAATATATGTCCACGTCTCTGTAACTTATCCTTACATTTTTACTTAATTCCCGACAAAACAATTCTTTTCTAATTTCGTTTAAAAATTGACCAACTATTTTGATAAAATATTTTCCATTTTGACCAAATTTTAAAAATTATTGGTGGTGTCACACCCCCACCCCCCTCCCGACACACCTCCCTAGTATCGACGTCCCTGCCTTTACTTTGACTAGAGTTATAACATGTGATAATTGTAGATTTTGGATTATTTACATGGATATATTTTGATAAAAATGTTTTTAATTTTATAGCGATATGCAATCTAATTCAAAGCATTAGCATTGGATGGGTTTACGGAAGGGGTAATTTAGAAGGAGATAAGCTGAGTTTTCGTTGCAGAACTGATTATATTGTGGATGGCGAGCAGTTTATTAAATGCACTGGAAATAGGCGATGGAATGCAACGAAACCGACGTGTAGAGGTTGGTAGAAGACCGATATATGATGGGGGAAGGAGACATTTTTGGCAAGTGGTAGTAATAATTGGGATTTTTGCAGCAACATTTTTTGGGGATCGATATCACTTCTTTTTGCTTTGCCTTGTAATTGGGCCTGATTCATGATGACCCAACTCCAACCCTACACCTAATCCATAAGGCCTAAGAGAGTTAAAACTAGTTGGGAAAATTAAAAAACATTTTTTAAGTAAATCCACTGAGGCAAATATGAAATCAACAAGCCGAAGCGGGGCTTCAACTAGACACCTCCAACGTGGTAGACGCATGCGTCTTGCCTTATGAACTACTGTAAAGCTCGCTGAAAACCATCGTAAAATTCATTTTATATTACTGATATGAAGGGTATGTTCAACAGGTCAGGTAACAAGGCAGATCCCAAAATAAGTGTATAAGCATTCCAGCATGCATATATTTCTCTCATATGGCTATTTATGAAACGCGCATTTTTTTCATTCATTGTATGCTGAACATAGTTGCCATGTTACACTCTCCTACGCAAAGGTTTGATGTCACTTTATTTATACCCGGAAAATGTACGGCATTCAGGTCGTTGCTGAACGCACGCGTGGAAGAAAGGGAACTTTATTCACCATTTACCTGGCGCACGCCTATAATTATAACTTACCAGTATATAGCCCACATGTTTAACTATAACGCCTCTGCAAAGGAGAATTAGGCATACTATGTGTAGCAAGCGAGCTATGCTTGTGCTGCTAAACTTGGAGCGACAGAAATTTGGCAAAGTCTGTTGCATCATGGGGTGTTCCAGTGGTGTTGGTGTTATACACCGTTGCGGTCATGTTTCACACTTAAAATTTACCTCACATTTTTAATAATAATGCATTTTAGATTATATTTACTGTATGTACATTTATTATTTTAAAATAATGTCTAATCGCTTGGCCCGGTTACCCTTTTGTAGTTTTGTCTATATCCCTTTTCTATGCCGGTTGAATTACTGCCGCTCTTGTATCGCTCGAAGGCAATAATGCATAAGTTCTGCATACCTGTATGAGAGGAGTGGCGTTTGTAACGAGCTAGAAGGAAATATCTTCATGGGGAAGTCTTGCACATTTTCCTGCTTGTATGGATGGTTGATTGGCAAACATTTATATCTTTACTTGACTGTAATAAATGTGGTACAACGGAACCCCGCCTTATGGCCACCCTGTAAATACGGTCACCTTTTTATTACGGCCACTTTCTTTTGTCCCCGAAAAAAGCCAAAATAATACACTTTCTTATAAAGATACCCCATTAATACGGTCAATTTTATTTCGACCCGCGTTCTTGACTGTTTTTCGGCCCATTTGTTGACTGGGGTATGACTTTAAAAGTTATATTACCCAACCTTTCAATTATTTTAGCCGTTTAGTCAGAAATGATTACCCAACAAATTTATGAATGGTTTCTTTTTTTGTCCGTAGCACCATGTAGAAAGCTCGGCGCACCAGCTCGTTCGAGAATCACACAAGGAGGTTTTAGACATAACGAAAATATCAAATTTGAATGTGATCCAGACTATTACCTGCACGGAAGGAACATCTTGACCTGTTCAGATGGGACATGGAATGATGCTCCTCCGACCTGTTTAGGTAAGTATATAAAGCACAACCAGAAATTGATTCATGATTTTTATCTATGGAGTCATAACCAGAGTGGCCACTTTATACCCTGCCCCCTTCCTGCACTTCCCAGGCAACATTTTTGCCATTCATACCCCGTTTGAGGAAATATAGAATTACAGAAACTATATCTGTTAAGGATTGTTTACACTATCGTTAAGTTTCTGTGATCACAGTAGGAATTTTGTAGAAGGATTCGTAAGAAATGTTTGAAGGAATTGATTCAATGTTAGTATACACTGAATCAATTTCTTAGAAATTAAACATTTCTTACAAAACTTTCGAAAATGTAGAAATACGTAGACAAATATTTTAATAAATCCTTCAAAACATGGACGCAATTCTTTATGCTTTCATTTATTATTTTGTAATGTAAATTTACGTCTTGCTACGTTTTAACTGTTTTGGTTTGTAGTAATTGTATTCTGTCAAAATTCTTAAAAATAGAGCCCCTCCCCCCCAAAAATGTACATAGTTCAGACTATAGCAAAGGTCCTTTGAGAGGGAAAGCTTGGTTAAATAACTCATAATCAAATACCCTGGAAGTGAAATTGGTTTCGGCGAACAAGCAAACTATGCAGAAACAAATAAAAGTACTTTGGGCTCCCTTATTTATCCCTCCCACTTCCACTTCCCGCTCTACTAGAAAATCCAGTTGTGCCTATTGTAACCCTAAACGTAATTTCTAATATCTTATTTCCCCATATGTTTTCATGTCAAACAAAATTCAGTTCTGGATTGAGAATTTTTTTAAGGAACGATAAAAAAATGTATTCCTTTACGTCATCTGACTATCTGATCTCTCTGAACTAAACGTCTTTCAAAACAATACAATTAATTTTGTGTACTTCTTAAACGCTTCATCAACACTATGAGTGTTTTAGCGCTATTCTGCAGGAGAGCAGTGCTTTTTCTTGATGTCATTGGTATTTTAATCAATATGATATAACTCAATGTACTCAATGTATGTCCATTAATTCTCTTTCCCAATTAAAATATTGGCAGATTTGAATTATTGAGATCATTACCTCCACAAATGTTAAAAAATTGTGCCTTGGCGGAACTACAACTTCGTGTGGGAAAAATTTGCTCGTCTGTTACAGAAGCAAACTCGGAAGACATTTGTTTGGTCTTAGTTTTTATCAAATCCGCGTACTAACAATATGAAAAATAGTTTCATGCATGACGGAGCATACCTTTGGAATTCTATTCCAAAGGAAATTATGGAAAGCAAAACTCTTTCTTCCTTTAGAAATAAAATCGCTGCTTACATCATTGGCATAGAGTAATAAATAAATTGATGTGCCTGTAAATATTCTAATAACGTTCGTATCATGTAAATAATTCAGTATTTTGCAAAATTTTCTGTAAATATCTCTTAATATCTTTTCTATGGAATTTTTTGCTATTTTTACACACGCCCCTCATGGAAATCAGCTTCGGTTGACGGGGTTAGCGTGCATAAATAAAGTAGTATAAAGTGTCTATCTATCTATCTTATCTATCTATTTATCTATTTATCAAACATTATACATGTATATATGTCTTAATCTTCAGCTCCTTGCAGACGGTTTAGTGTGCAACCATTCCGTTGTGGTTATATAAGGCGAGATGGTTACAGACATAATGAGGAAGTTACATTTGGATGTAGAAGTCCTTTGGTTATTGATGGTCAGGTTACCTTACGTTGCAATGATGGAACATGGAATAACAGACTACCTACTTGTGGAGCTAGGAGGTTTGTGTATATTTTTCTAAAGGTTAGGGCCGAGCGTTGGTCGTCTAAAACAACGTGATAAGCCGAAACACCATCTTGGTTCTTCCCTTACCCTGCAACTTGGAAGCTGCTGTTCATATTTTCATTCAAATATTTTACAATTATTGGCCGTGGTTGAGCAAAACATCGTGATTTGTCAGTAGCGTGCACATCAATATATTTTTCGATTCAGCAATACGCGCGTTCAATAAATGATTGACCGTACTATTTCATATTTCGCATGCAATTGTTCACTAGGTCTATATTTCTGCCATTCTTATTGCATTGCACGAGCTTTTAAATATTAGCAAGCCAGTTAAACACAAATCTTCCCAGTATCAGCCGAAACTGAGCAACTTGTCTTGGAATACATGAAATACATTTAAACATGTCATATTTAAGGCATATTTTGTTACTTTTTTGTATTTTGGACATGTTTGTCGAAGCAAACACGAAAATTATTTCCAGACAAAGTGCTTATACGATGAAATTTCACACCATTTTCATGATTGCACTGTAAAATTAATTTAAAATGACTAGTAATATACTTTGCCAAACTGCCTTAGCTTGTTTCTTTCTTGAAATATTTTAAAATGTTTGACATGCGAATTATGAACGCTTTAAATTTATGAATGCTTTCTGAACGAACTTTTATAGCTCTCAAGAACTTAAGCGAGCTAAGAGAGCTTGGCAAAATTTCGTTATCCGTCAAAGGCGAATAGTGCGGAAATTAATATTTTGTAGCTGATATTTGCCAACCTCGTACCCAGGGTATTTGCTCTTGGGGAGCGAAATACCCTGGTATGGCCTGGTCACGTGACCCGCGGATTTTGTGTAAAATGGCGTATTGTTTACTAGGGTCGGGGTAGTGAGTATACATTGTCACTCCTAGTAATTACATCACGCTTTTAAATTTTAATTACCAGGAATGACAATGTATACTCACTCCCCCAACCCTAGTAAACAATACGCCATTTTACGCAAAATCCGCGGGTCACGTGAGCAGGCCATACCAGGGTATTTCGCTCCTCAAGAGCAAATACTCTGGGTACGAGGTTGGATAAGTGTGCATACTCTGTTTACATCTGTTATTTGCTGTTAACATTTAACAAATGTAAAACATTTTGATTCCTTGTTGATATGCAGTTATATCAACACGAGTCCGAGTGTTTTCACACAATTTCGAGTTTTCCTAATTTCCGCGAGTGTTGATATAACTATATATCAATACGGAAAAAATGTTTTATATTTATTTTATAATATAGCACAAAGAAATATAAAGAAAGAAATTTTCCAACTTTCCGTGTTGACATTGAATTATGTCAACACGGCTCTTAGCCAATCAGCGTTCAGAATTTACAAATGCTATATTATAAAATAATATAAGCACCAGTTATTTACAAAAAAAATTATCAATAAAAATTGAAAAAATAAGTACAAGTTATAACGAAATTTACTCGTAATTTGGGAATTGTGATTTGCTAATTTGAATAGCCTGCGAACAAGCCCTCCTGGGTTACGGGCGGCGCGAAGAAAGGAGGGCCTGCACGGAACTATAGGTTTTTTTGGTAGTGGCGTTCGTATAGAAACGCAGGCTTCTGATTGGCTTACACTCGTTGACAAAATTACTAAAAATAGCAAATGTATTAAACAACAGCATTATGAACTTTATTCATTTTAATATTATAAGACTATCGAACAAAATAAAACTAGAGATGGAAACTAAAAGCAATAGCAAAGCATCACAGCAAAAACGTCTATCATAAATGACTTGAATCTATCGCTTAAATCCAATACACGAAAGTATAATAGTATTCTGAACTTCGTCTTCGGATTGACATCAGACTATAGTATAGTACATTTTGAGGTCGTAGTGTGGCTTCACGGATTATTCTCATTAGTGAGCAAGTCAGCAAGCGAAGGCATACAAAAGATACCCAAATATGAGCGAATAATTATATTGTTGATCCTCGCTGGCATGTCATTTAGATAAATATATATACTATTTACTATATAAACTGCTGACAATTTCGTCGTCGATACGGCTTCCACTATTGCCAGTATTGGCACACTAGTGATTTCGAAGAAATTAATAAATACATGCTCATTTATTATTTATTTAGATCACAGTCAGTAAAATTTTAGACGTATTCGGTATTCCAAATCCCAATCTATCTGTGACCATATTTTAGTAATAGCTTCAAATATTCAGAACATTGTTCTTTCAGTCGCACATAGTACAAGTATTACTGTACATTCAATGCCAATGGTAGTATTTTATTCGGCTTTATATTTGTATGTGTATTGATATCTATTATCTGGAGAATTCGATTTTTCCTAGTAATATATTGTGCCCGCTAATGCTGCGTATTGTTGTTCATATATACATTATATTTCTTCGTTAGTTCGTTGCACAATGTCCACGCCTTGCATCAATTTGACAGTTGACAGTTTATTTATCGCAGTCGACGCTGATTGGTTCGCGTTTAGCAGATGGGGATGATTGAATAAAACGCATGGTTCCGTGCAGGCTCACCTTTCTCCCAGTAGCCTGTTCGCAGGCTACTAATTTGAATTGTGAGTTTGTCTGCCCCGTATTTTGGTATGACAAAATGCAATTACAATATTGCATTCTCACAGGCCCTTGCAGAAACCTCAATGCGCCGAGAAATGGTGTAATCATAAAGAATGGATACAAACATAAAGAAACCCTTACCTTCGGATGCAATCAAGGATTTCAAATGGTTGGTACACCAGACAGAATATGTAATTTTGCAGTATGGAGTGATTCCAGAATACCTCGTTGCGAAGGTAGAACCTTAATTTGGTCCGTAATTATTCTATATGTACTCTAGAACAGAATCTCAAATGATCAAATCCTATGACAATATCTGGTTGTTGTTGTTGTTGTTGTTGTTGTTGTTGTTGTTGTTGTTGTTGTTGTTGTTGTTGTTGTTGTTGTTGTTGTTGTTGTTGTTGTTGTTGTTGTTGT